ATGAAAACATTGTATAAAACCATTATAGGCCTATGCTCTTATCAGACAACCATAATCAGCAGCTCTGGGATCTTCCAGCACTCCAGGGCTAATTTCTACGTCACTGTTAAGTAAATTCCATGGCATGGATAACCTAAATTATTTGGAAGATTAGACTGCAGGAAGCATAGCAAATATTACTTAAAGCCTTTTTAAAGCTGCTGTACAAAGTGCACTATAGTGATAAAATAGAGCAATACCTAATTAATATGCACAAAACAGCCCTATAAACAATTTTAACCCCTTCCTTGTTACTGATTCTTAAGGGTCATGTGAACAGAACACATGCTGCATTCAGCAAAGCAGAAACCTATCCTGATTATGAAGCTGCTAGGAGTGCAAGTCTCTTACAGAGGAAACCACCCATAAACACAGTGAGAGATGAGGCTTCCCCATTCAAAACTATGGTTTTTCTTCTTATTACTCTGATGTTGGCAACCCTCTACGAGTTCATCCAGCTCTCTTAGCACTGAGCTCCTTATCTCAAGTTCTCTCTCTGTTTTTACTTCCCTTGCCTGTGAATATGAACTTTTTTCTCTCTTCTGGATTACAGGAGCCAAGAATTTTTACTGTAGGGCAAGCTTCTGAACAGGATATATGGCCCATTGCTTCATCTCATATGTGCTCCTTGCTTCTTCCCCTCACTCTACCATATTCTGCCCTCCACATTGTTGTTCCACAAGCTAATGACACATGCTTGATGTATGGGCCAGCCACTCATCAAAAGTCCACACTGCCTTCATGGAGGTTCTCATGCACTCTCAGCTCTCTCTGCTGCTCTTTCAGAAAGGACTCTCCTTTAGTGAAAGCAGCATGTACTGCTGAAGACCATGACTCCATGATGCCTGTGTCACCCCAGAGCCAGGGGTGACCTGATAGTGTGAGAAACCCAGGCTAAATCTGCAGAAGATGATTTTATGAGCACAAAGTTACAAAGAACTGCTGACAAGAAGCCAATACAGCTCATGCACTCTCCTGGACTATTTAGACAAATGGTCCATACAATATAGTCCCACTGGCAGCTCTGTGAGTAGTTGGGTAGCAGGAGGCAAGTGCAGCATCCATATATTCACAGGTACATGTAATGTACACAAAAATATATAATAAGCATCAGCAGCCTTCATTAGAGTGCACCTAAGAATTATGGAGATCCCAACCTTGCAAGCCGAATAAATTATTGCCAGAGGATTATTATGTATTCTAACAATATCTAATGTACCTCTTTGTCTCTCATAAATTACAGGGCATCCTCTGACTCCTGGAATACACTCTGCCTCATGCACAGCCACTATATAGTCTTTTTTTCCTCTAAATACACACAATAGAAACTCTAATCAGCATGGTCTTGCATAGGGATTTTAATAGCCGAGAAAAAGGTACTTGTAGTCACACGTTCACTGCCCTGGTGTAACTATTTCAATCACCAAAGCAAATGACCACAATTTAAATGTGCTGATAAAGGGGAAGCTAATTTGCAGTGTGTATGTAAGAATATCATTATTAGCTACACACACATCTCTGTTCACTGTTCCACAGGAATTTTACCACTGTACAAAGTATCTCCATGCAGTGCAAACTGTAACAGAGTCTCCACAATCATTTTGACTTTCTGCCTTTCAGCCCCAAAATTGCCAATAACACCATGCTTCTGCATTGACTTGCCCAATGTGGACTTAACGATGACTCCCAATAGCGGGTCATCGAACTCAGTTCATTCCAGCAACCAGCCCAGAAAAAAATCCCTTGTATTTTAACACCTTACACTCACAACTGATCAGCACCCAGCACATCTCAGCCTTGGTCTTTATTTGCATCAATAAATAGTTGAACCTCAGGTGATCCTGAAATTAGCAGAACTTGGTGCTTTTGCCCATACTGGAATTGGCTGATTACTGTTTTTCAGCAGATTTTATCCGGGCATTAGATGCCTGCTTCAAGACTGTTAAATGTCTGGATATATCACAAAGCACCACAGATTCAGGAAGTTCTGTACTTCAGAACCAGCTCCTTTATTGTCCATTTCTGCTGGGAAAGACATGAAGAATGCATTTGCTTGCTGAACTGCAGAGAAAGCTAAAATTACTTTTAAATGTCCCATTTCATTTACAAGGCCATAAGGACAATTGTTTTGCATTATTTTCCCAAATTCTTTTGGTTTCAGGTTCCTTTTACCACTTACACTGTCGCATACACACACACACATTCTCCTTTAACATGAAGACACCAAGAAGGAAACTGTGCATAAGCTGGGCTGTATTTTTAATATACATTAACAAGATGACAGACACCTTGAGTAGCCTGGTCAGGGAAAGCAAATGAAGACAAGAAATATTCTCAGAGTGTTATTGATTAACTGTTTTTCAGAACAGAGGGAATCATTTTTAACTGGTTTCAACTATGATGGACTCAAGTGGAAAATGCAAGCAGAGTTAGCAAGGAGCATAATTGACTGGGCATGGAACTAAGTAACCTCTCAGCACGCTGGAAGTGGTGGAGCCAGGGGGGTTACAACCAGGGCTGCTCCAGACCCAGAGCCCTTTCTTCCCAAAGTGAACTCTGCCAGCAGCCAAAGATGCCAATGACAACAAGTAAAGGGAGGGGAAAAAAAAGGGGGAGAGAAAAAAAAAAAAGGGCTAGCCACTCAGTTACATGATCTAAATTCTAATCAAACATCATTTAAAGCATGTTTTATTTCAGCCTCTGGAGAGATAGTCCCTCCTGACTCCTCACCATGGCAACCGGTGTCTCATTTCAGAAGTGTCATGCCACATTATCATCTTACCGGCTCACACACTCCTGCCTGACAAGTTCTCTCTGCCCCTTGTGACAACCGTTCCAGGCTTATGCTGTTTATTTTTGGTGTCAGGCTGGCCCTGGCAGATTGAAAGGCAACCTCAACCCCTTGAACAACAAGCACCACACCCCACTTGGTGATAAGAGATGATTTGAGAAGATATTTGCTTACATGTGTATAAGCAATTTGCTGTATGATGAAGCCCCAGTGCGTTTGTGTGAATGCACGCCTATGTATATGTGTGCAAAGGGGAAGGAAATGGAGAAGCGTGACGTGCCAGGAGAAAGCAAACAATTCATTTCAGATCCCAGGTAGTAGATTTCAATCATCAGATCCTGTTATTCACTCAGAACAGTATGAAATATAGGCCAAAAAGGCATCCTAGGTACTCTATCCTAAGAGATATGAACGCAAAGCCAGACATTGTCTCTGCAAAATACCCTCAGCTGCGTCCCTGCAGAGGGCTGCGAGACACAGCAGCAAAGGCACTCCACAGAAGGAATGGGGACAAAATGTGGTATTAATTGCTAAAGGAACACACCAGAGAGACACTTTGGGCCAGATTCATCTCTGCTGTTTTAGTGTCAACTTGGAGCAACATCATTACTGCCAGTGAATTTACCTGGGATCATCAGCAATGTGAATTACAGAATCTCTACTCACCTTCAAGTGATGGATTCTCTTCAGCGCAGCCAAGACTTTCTTTTAACTGTGTGTTTTGTGAAGCCTCTGCATAGGTAGGGCTAAGAATGCAGCTGGGCTTCTTCATGTAAGCACAGCCATAATGCTGATACTCGTTATAAAAGTAGGTATTATATTTACATTTAATTGTAAACATAAGAGCAGTGTTTCTGACATCCATTTGACTGTTGAGACAGTGGCAGTAAAGCAGCACTTCTTTCCATTCAAGAGACACAGAATTAGGGACAGTTTCCTACCTTCCCAACCAAGCAGGTAGAGAACAAAGTGTTCTTGGATTAATTGTGCTGTTGTTACCTATCATCAAGCCTGGGGGGAAGCCCCGGGCTGTCAGATATGATATCCAGGTAGCAACACCACAAAAAAGAAATGAAGAAATAGGTGTTGGCAGTAAAGACATCAGCACAGATTTCATATTTACTGTTCAGACCAGTTTCAATAGCCCATGAGAGAAGATGGGTGAGGATCCACTCTGGAACAATGCACTACACAAAGGGAAAATCCCTCTCAGGTAAAAAGGCAAGGAGTCATGAAGAATGATGATTTTATTTTTTTCCACACAAGTTGTAACTATGCTGGGACAGTTGGGATCTTGGTGTTACTTTAATCAGTAACTGATTTCCCAGTTATCATTTTCATGGACAATAACCAATTTTACTACTGCTAACCAAATTAAATGAATGTCATTTTCACACCAGCCACACAAACCCAGCAGAATATCTGACTGTGATGGGTCACTCAACACTGTCACAGTCACCAGGAACATCATTATCATAATATTTGTATATTTTTCCAGAGAGAGCCAAAGGAGTAACTTAGAACACTGAGAAATCAGCCAGTTGGGAGCACTTGGGAACATTTTACTTAAAAAGAGAAAAGCAGCATTAAATGCAGTATGTGTGATATAGAGCTTATATATTTCAGGTCATCTACAGTCACTGGAGTTCCCATTCGCATATTTCATGGAGACAACAGAGCATCTTCCTCTGATAAGCAGCCAAAAAGGGCTGATTTCTGGGAACTTCATTGTGATTTCACACAAGTGATTCAGAAGCTGGTTACTGACAAATACAGTTGCTGCAGCAATCTCTTTTTCCTACTTAAGACAGATCATCAAACCTCTGCACTGATTTCTCTGTGGATATGTCTATCCCAACAGAGAGCAGAACTCTTCTAGTAAAGATCACCAGGTTATGAGTAGTATCTACAGTTGCTGATGGAAAGACTGATTCTAAAGTCAATCCACACAATGGGACAATATAAAAATAAAACAACCTCTGTTCAAAACAGCCGTCACGAGCACACAAAATTATGGGCTCAAGAGACAGAGCAGCTGGACAGGGATCATAGTGAGAACAGCCCTGCTAATGCCAAGAGGGAGGATATCAAATGGTTCATAACTACTTTGGCAGTGATTAAGTGTTTTGGGCAAAGCTGGTATCAGCCATGCCTCCCAAATTGTTCTTACCTTTTCAAAGCTGTGTGCTGAGAAAGGAGCCCGTGATGGAAGAGATGAACATCGGAGAAGGTTAGAAGAGGAACAATCTGAAGCCTGGCACAGCACTGCAAAACAAGGTTCAAGAGCATTTAGAAGGGAGATGAGTGTGGTTTACATGGATTACAATGTAAATAAAACTTGACCCAGTTATCTCAGAGAAAGAATCAGAGACTGGGCAAAGCCACACAGTAAACTCAGATGCAATCTTAGATTAAATAAGGAGCTAATTGGAGAACAGCTTTCAGTAAAAACAAACAAAGCAATATGTTCATTTAATTTTTAATCCATTTTCTGGTAATTGTACCACAGAAAGACAGAGGTTTACAGTATCTGTAAACAAAATACGATCATCCCAAGACACACTAATGGCATTTTATAGAGTTTGTCAGAGCAGAGCGTGTACATTTTTAAAACCATAAAATGAGGAGAATTAGCACTGATTATGGAGCAGCAATGAAACTCCCGAGCTTCAAGTCCCATAAAAAGCTATAAACACAGCAAATGCTACAGGAGGTCTTTCCAGAAAAAAGGAAAACAAGGTGAATATTTCACAGTGCAGATAGAGCAACCAGGGAAGGAACAGAGGAAGGGATGTCTGGATGGCTGTACTAAGCACGGGCTCAATTCTGCCCCCAGCTGCAAACCTGCAGTACCTCATCAGCTAAGATTTCTCCATTTCCATATCAAACACAAGAGTGTACCTAGAGGCAGAATTTAACCTGCTCCCTCAAACAATGCACAGCTAACAGAGACGGACACCCACTGTAGCAAAACATCACACTGCCCAGCCGCCTTGTTTTACAGGAAACATACAGTACAGATGTAATTCAGCAGTCTTTTTTTTATCCTGAAAGTGCCTGGGAACCTCTACTCAAAATTGCATGCACAGTCAGGTGTAAAAGTATTTATACATGTGCACGTGTTGCTATTACCACATAATCCAGCCTGGGAGACTTCCATTCCCAAATGCCCTAGGGAATAACTACCTACTCCTTCACAGGTGCAAAAATCCACCTTGCATAAAGATGAACTGTCATGTTGTCTGTATGATCTATCTATTCCTCTCTGCCCACAAGTCTTCTTCATACCAGTACATGCTCTTTATACTCCATTAAAGCAAATCACTTCTTCAGCAAACAACTGTCCCAGGAAAGGACTCAAGGACTGGCAGGAATTCAGCTTTGGCATGAAAATCCTGTATTTTTGTCTTGTATTTGCAGTTGCTCAGGCATATCTATATTTCCATCTGTACACCTGTCTTCATAAAAACCTAACTGCAACAAAATAAATGAGAATAATTCTGCTGTTTCTGTGTTTCCGGTATGTTCCACCAGCAAGTGGTAATAAACCAGTAAAATCTCTAAAGGAGACATTACCAACCCAGGCCATGCAAACACTTCACCATTTTATAATCTCACATGTCGAATGAACATCATCGTTCCCTTTGGTGCCTTAAAATATCAGGTCCATAAAATTACTAAAAGGCAAAGCTGTAAGCTCTGCCTAATGCTAGGAACATCCAGAACAGACACAAAAGCTGACAGTGCCTTTGTTTCCCACAAAATCCTCTCCTCTCCCCAGACCCAGGCGATGGTCCCTTTACAGTCTCCCTAAATAAACATCCAAGTTTTGATTTCTCACATTTGCTATGTCAGTTCTTCTCTTCCCCCCTCCACCTTACAAGACTGCATAATGTATCTGTGACTCCATTCCCCTCCTGGCTACCCACAAAGATAGAATCACACTTGCCTCTGAGAAATGATGTTCATTTGCAAGTGAGTCTGAAGCCTCCAAGCTATGTCTGTATCATCTTCACTCATTTGTGGCTTTGCATTAGCAGAGCAGTGTTTGCTGTGTGAAATGCTTGCAGAGGCAACAGGGGGGCGAGACCCATCTTGTACTTGAGCTTCCCTGGGACAAAACCTGGCTGGAAGCTGGAGTTGGTGCCTCTGTGCTGTGGAAGCAGCATGCTCAGGGCAAGGACTGATGGCCAGATGCAACCTGAAGTCACCCGGTGTGGATGCAGTTCCATCTCCTGCCCATCTGCAACAAGAAGATACCAGCACTTCTTTACTGTTTAATTCTTGTTTAGAATGACTTCAGAATTACAAACTTCTCAGGAGCATCGGGAGGCTAAACAAGAAATACTGTGAGACACTGAACATGGCAATTTGAGTAAACTCCTGGTCTGTCATTGCTATAGTAGCACAGACAGCATGGCAGATGCTGACAGAGAGAAAGTGGCTTTTCCAGGAAATGGAGAGGGTTTTCCACCTTTATCCTAATAAGAAAACCACCCCTGGACCAACTTCCCAGATAAAACCCCACATGAACCCATGCGCGTGGCTGCGAGGGGCCCTCCTTAGCTCCCAAGGCCAGGTTTATGACAAGGCTATAATTTTGCAGACTACTAAGATCAAGTTGGTGGCAAAAGAGGGCAGAGGGAGCAGAAATAAAAGTCAGAGCTTTGGGGAGAGGAGGAAGGAAGCTGGTGAAAAATGCTGGTATTTACTTGCTGTAAACGTTGAGCCTATAAAACCTTCCCTCACCCAGCAGCCTAAAGTGCCAGGCAGACAACAACAGCAATGCTTGAATGAAGTTGTATGTTGTTTTGTGAGAGTGGCAGCTCACAGCAGAACAGAGGCTAATAACAACCACAGTTTTCTGGGTGTAAGTTACAGGAGCACACCAACACTTGCTGATGGCATTCAGCCTGGCAAAGCAATTGCTGCAGCACCAGGGCTCCTATTTACATGAACACAGCATCTCAGAGTTTGCTTGTTGTTGGGTTTTTGGGGGTATTTTCAAACCCAAGTGAAAATGGGGATGAATTTCTGGGTGCTGCCTGATCAACACATGTGCCTGTTCCCCTGAGACAAAGGAATTCAACCTGCAAAGAAAAACCTCTTGAGAGGAGACACTTGCAAGGAAGCTGAGGCATGTTTAGATGCATTTCTTGCAAGGCTCTGCCTGGTAAAGCCACCAGGGATTGCTGGGATTCCAGAGCAAAACTTCTGTTATACATAAGCACTTACTTGTGAGGATAAGTTTGGTCAGATGTCCCAGTGTCTTTCTGGTATATGGAAAACGCGAGGTCAAAATCCCCCGGTCAGGATCCCTCTGTCTGGAGCAGCCACCCAAGGCCTGTGGGGGAAACCCAAGGTGGCGGCCACCATGCCACTGCTCCTTCGGCTCCGTCGAGGCCCGGCTCCGAGATGCTGCCGCGGAAAGCCACGTTCGCAGCGGCTTCTTCATTAACGGTTGTTTTTATTTATTTAATGAGGTGTGGAGCAGCCTCTAGCGGCGGGCGGCGGCCACCAGCTCCACCACAGCCCGGCTGAGGCAAGGCGGGCACCGGCTCCCTCACAGCCCGGCTGAGGCGCGGCGGACACCGGCTTCACCACAGGGCGGCTGAAGGGCGGTGGGCACCGGCTCCCTCACGGCCCCGCTGAGCGGCGGCGGGCGTTTTCCCGCCCAAAAGCTGCCTCAGGGGGCGGGTATGTCCAGCCGCCATGTTAGCACACCGCCTCACAGCACCCCGTTCCCCTCATGGCCACCAAGTGACGACCCCCCTGCAAAGTCACCCTCCACCCAGGGCTTTACCTGAGGAAGATTAAGGTCCTTTCCAACCCTAACTATTCTATGATTCTATTCTAAGATGCACACAGAAGCTGAGCCATGTTTAGCCTCCTCTACTGTAGGCGCTGTGTTCTCTGTGACGCCATGGTGGTCCAAAGAGGAGCTGTCAGCAATAGGGTGCAGGGACACAGCCATCCCACTGGTCCAAGCCGGCAGTGGAGTGAAGCACACGCCACAGGTTGATGTTCAAGAGTTCAAGGTTGGATGGGGCTTGGAGCAACCTGTGCTGGTGGAAGGTATCTATGCCTGTGGCTGGGGGTTGGAACTGGATGAGCTTTAAGGTTCCTTCCAATCTCAACCATTCTGGGATTCAAGGATTCTTCCTGTTTTCCTTATTTCCTTCTCTCTGAGGCACAGACTCAGTTAAATTAAAAGGCAGATACAAGTAAGTCCTGGATAACGGGAATCCAACGGGCAGCACAGCCGGGGCAGACATCTCCTCACCCAACATGGCTGCCTGAGGCGGCTGCGCTCTCCCTCACGGGCAACACACTTGGGGTGAGGCGGCTCTGGCTCAGTTCCCCCTTCATTTATGCCCCCAACTCTGCCCAGAAGCACTGGAGCTCAGAGGAAGGCCCCAAAAGCCTCGAGGCCTCCCCACCCCAGCAGCCGCTCACCAGCTCCTGTCCCTGCTGCTTCCTGAAGTGCTTCTGGAGCGGATTCATCCATGGAAACGTTACCGAGTCTGATGGCAGAAGGCAGAAGATAGAAGACAGGGCCAGGTATGGGCTGCAGCAGCTTGTCTGAGGTGACCAGCGAGACACACAGCTCTTAAGGCTGGTTGCATGTAAGAATCCAGGCTCCCGTTTTGTTCTGGTGGAGAACACCAGGCAGTTTTCCTAACCCAAAACCATAAGTTTCAATAGGCAAAGCCCTTCCTGTAGTCCCTGTTACCTGCTTACTGTAGGCAATGAGTGCTTTAAAGCTGTTTGGATACAAAATAAACAGACACCAGACAGAACCAAAACAATGCTGGTTTCCCCCAAAACACAAGAGCAGTTTCCTCCTGGTTCACCACTGGAAAGTCAGACACAGCACTGCTGACTGTAGCTGTTTGGCTTGCACTTACTTACTTCAGGGGTGCTTGAATTAATTAGGAGTGCATGAATCAGAAGTCTTCCATTGGAACCTGGTGCAGAAACTTGCCTGAGCAGTGCTTGGGTTGCACCCGTGCTCATCCCCAGCCAGGCCAGGCACCCTCAAACCCTTGTACCGTGTGTTCCCTTCCTCTTGTCTCTGCTATAGGGATGCTGGGGAGGGACTCTTCATTAGGGACTGTAGTGACAGGACAAGAGGTAATGGGTTAAAACTTAAACAGGGGAAGTTTAGATTGGATATAAGGAGGAAATTCTTTCCTGTTAGGGTGTTGAGGCACTGGGATGGGTTGCCCAGGGAGGTTGTGAATGCTCCATCCCTGGCAGTGTTCAAGGCCAGGTTGGACAGAGCCTTGGGTGGCATGGTTTAGTGTGAGGTGTCCCTGCCCATGGCAGGGGCGTTGGAACTTGATCTTAAGGTCCTTTCCAACCCTAATTATTCTATGATTCTATAATTGCACTTCCTTTGGTTAAATTCACCTCAGTACCCACTTTGTGTCCTGAAGTCCCTTCACATCACGCTTCCTCACAGCCAGCACATGGGCATCCTCACAAGCAGCTCAGCTGCAAGGATCCGCCAGCCCAGTGCTCAAATGGCACAGCCCACACTCATCACTTCTACTGCAGATTACACTTCTTGCCTGTGTTATACCCAACCTTTCCTGCCACGGCACAAGTTATATCTTTTGGCTGATTTGCATTCATTCCTCAGAAAGCCGCTGTCAGTTTTCTTTTCCCGTTATTGGCACAGCTTCCAATCTGTGAATCCTTGATAGCTTTCCTTAATTAAACTCATAACTTCTCCTAACTATTTCCCCACTGCAACCCCAGATTAAAGGCCCACTTTGGCCTCCTGGCCATGCAAGGTACCTGCCTCTGTACCACCACCTTTCATTTCCGGAAGGCTTCTTGGGACCTCTGGGCTTGACACTTGCAGGAACCTCTCCATTACTGGGCTCCAAAGACGTTCTCATTTCCCTCCACAGATCTGTCATGCATTTGCTGACTCAGCTCAAAAACCCTGCAAGGGGGTTGACAAGGACCACATGCTTTCAGGGTCTTTTTAACACTCTTAACTTCTCCATCACCTCTGCTCGGTTTCCTTCAATATTTCTTCTTTATGCAAAAGGAAATTTATCTTTCACTCTGGCATGTGCCCTGCCTCCTGCCTTTGTGAACATGAAGGCAAAACTGGCAGGGGTTTTTCTTTCTTTTTAGGTTTTTTCCTTACGCAGTGTCTATCAATAACCCTCAGCGGCTTTTAGAGTCTTTCCATCACTGATCTATTATTCCTTTGGCCCATGCAACATTTCTTATTATTTATTAGAACCATTTTCACGGTCTTCCCTTCATTTCCCATAACGGCTCATCTTGTCACTTCTTTAGCTCCTTGCTTCATTCTGAATTTGCAGTTTCATGGACCACATGTAGGCACATCCTTGTTCCTCCATGCAAACAAGGCTCCAGGAGCCTCCAGGTAGGAAACCAGGCACTTCAGGGGGGAGAATTCAAAGGGTGGCAAAACTCAGGCAATTTTGATTCTATGGATACAGAGCACATGAAAGGGAAGGCTGCAAAGACCTTGTGTTGACTGTGAATGTCACCAGCCATCTCATACCAAGTGTATAGATTACACTATAATATCATATATTGCCTTCTTGATACCTGCCCTTGTATATTTTCCACTTCCTTCCATTTTATTCTGATTTCCTTCCAACTTTCTGCTTGTTTTTCCCAAGAAAAAATTCCTCTGTTCAGTTTCCTGAAACTCAGTTTATTTTCTGCAATAGCAGTCACAGATTGTGGTCACTACCTCTAATCAGCATAAAGTACCAACCAGAATGAAACCATAACCGTGAATTTTAGTTCATATATGAGGTACACTACAAGGGTTCTAAGAATCTGGAAACCTTCATAGCTAATGCTCCATCCATCTCAGCAGAGGAAAAGGTGCTGTTATCCTCCCCTGAATTTCCTTGCAGCTTAACTCTAGCTTTTAATAGCTGTGACCACCTTAACTCCTACAAAAGTAAGCGCTAAAAAGCCACAGCCCTGAGGGTCAGAGTAGAAATGTTCTTTATTTATAGGGAGCACATTTAACCGTCATGCAGTTCCTGCCCATTTTGTGTGTCACCATTATTAATAGGTTTCTGGAGTCATCCCTGCCTCTGTATGTGCTCAGCTTCTGAGGATGAGCAGCACCACCTTGGACACTTTGTGGGACAAGGGAACCAATAAAAAGACATTCATGAAAATGACCATTTCAAGGGAGATAAAATATCATTATGTGAAATGGATTTGCTGTCACTCCTCACCAAATGTAGCACCTATTAAATTATAGAAACCATTATTCCTCTTCTACAGAAAAGTCTGAAACTTTCCCTCAAAAGATCTATTTTATTGTTTTAAGTGGGGCTTAAATGTATTTTTTTTCCATGTGATAAATTTCCACATATGAATTTTCTGAGAGATGCAACAGGTTCTTGTTCTACTAATAATTTCACTGATCAAACAGGACAATACTTCCCTCCCAAAGGGATATAGCTTTATTTTACCAACAGGACAGCCTAATGGAGGTAAACCAACTGTTTTTCACACACCAAAACACCACTGCACATGCCAAGCATGATCCATCTGAATCCTCTCCTGTGCTTTCCTACATCATTTTCTAAACTCTGTCTCCTCACTGGCCTTGCCCACTGCACTCTTAGCGGTGTTTAGCACAGGTTGGCCTGTTTGGAGCCATAGGCAGGGTTGGTTTTTCCTTTTCCCTGAGAAGCACTCTGGGAGGACTGGAGGCTGCCATAACAGGAGTGTTCAGTGGGTCTGTAATCAAACCTCCCTGGCTGGGCAGGCTGGGTGCGGGAGGCCAAACCGATTAAACAGAACGTCAACGCACAGAGGAGCCGCATGACTGGAGAAGGAGGAATGGGTTGGAAAAGGAAGTGCCTCAGGAAGGAGGGAAACATGGCCTTGCAGGACAAAATGACAGTGGACTTGGAACACTTCCTGCAGATGCAGATTCCCAGCAGACGCTGTTACCGACACACATCCAAGAGACACCCGTGGAGGGGAAACGCAAGAAAGGCTGATCCCGTTTGATCACTGAGCATAGAGAGCAGTGGAAGAGAGTGGCTGCACCTCTGCAAAGAATTCCTTTCCCCCCTCTTCCTTTTTAACATGAAGAAACTTTGAAAACACCTGCAGTGGGAAACAAAAGGTTAATTAACAAGAACCCAGTCTTTGCACTAAACTGATTGCTGGGACTCCTGCCAGCCTGGGAAGGTTAAAGAGCTCAAGCATGCGTGGGCTGCGGGGGGAATGGCTAAAATTTACAGCTAGCTCCCTGGAAAGTCACAGTTCAGCTGTTCTCCCGGAGCAGGTGCTCATGGGAGCGGGCCTGTCCCTTTCAAAGCGTGAAGATTGATGAAGCCTTCGCTCTCACCAACTGTAAATATACAACCAGCCTTGTCAGAGCAGGTTTGTAACATCACTTGCTGACAGCAAGGAATTGGTTTTAACCTCCTAAACACACACACACACGCGCTTGCCCCACACAGGCTCACACACACACAAGTACTTAGGGGGAAAAAAAAGGCTTTTCCCAGAGAAAAGTCAATAAATAAAATGGTGGGCAAGGCATTTATGTTTTCCCTGCCCAGAGAGGCAGTAGATAGAGGACATGCATGGGGTGATTTCATCCTGGCCTTCAGAAAACAAGCAACATCTTCCTTGGGCTGTGCAGTTTATGGCCAAGTCCTGTAAGGCAGCTCTGAGCCAACATGGGAGCCTGGAGAGCTTAAATCAGTGGAGCTGTGCACTGCCAGCCACCATCCATGGGGATGGAGGACAAGCAGTTCTAATACAGCTGAAGTAACCATTTTCCTCTGCCCCAGTGCCTGCCAGCTGAGCACTCTATAGTGTGTTACAGACAGGAATTAGTTATCCTTTGCAGCCACACCTTATGAAGTTTGACATGCTTGTGTTTAACTTGGGATTTTCAAGGTGGCCTTAAGAGTCCCTCACTGATGGAATACAGGCAGCCTGTGAAGGGAAGGAGGTGTCCATGGGGAACAGAAAGACAGAGAAGGGGTCAAGCAGCACCTCATAGTGATGGGACATACCTGGGGTCTCAGCCTTGGGATCTCCTTTTCTGCTTTACCTTCATGTAAAGGTAAAGATACAAACCTCAGCACTCCTCTCCCATAATTAGTGGGTTGGTTCCTTGAAGGCACTATGGCAGAGGCGAGTCCTCAAAGGGTGTTTTCCCCAGGAGACTTGTCCTTCATGATTGGCTTCAGATGGGCATTTTGTGCCTGGGTAATTGGCCAAAGCACTGAACGACACCCTGCAGGCACAGCCCTTGGTGCTGCCTATGAGGATGAAGGGAAGACACAATGTACAATGGAACAACCCACAGCAGAGACGGAGCAGCATGGGAGAGGTGGCTGCTTCTCCATAGAGGAAATGATTCCACTAATAGCATTGAAAAGTTCCAGGCAAATCTAGCAGGAAAGAATAGCACTGGCAAAGCGTCCCCATAGCCCATGGAAACCAGACAGACTGAATTCACTCCTGACTTCAGTGACTGAACTCCTCGCATGATTGGAAGCAGAATTAATATTCCTGTATGAGTTTCTTTATTGTCTTGCCCCAGAATTAATTTTTAGCACTGCAGTCACTTTAACTAAAAGAATTCTGCAGCATCCTTTACTCAGTTCTCTCCCAAGGAAATTCCTTCTGTGTCATCATTTCTCTAAGGCAAAATTTCTGGATAATAGAAACTGTTTAGCCTAATTTCCTAAATTTCTTGAGATGTTACCCTTGCAGTGGGGAGGGATTAAAGTGGTTGTTTTAGGAAACATCAGTGCATTCCAATCACCCCAAAATTCTACCTTGCAAAATAATCAGGTTTGGTTTTGCTCCACTGCTTCTGTTTTACTACTTTCTTGTGCTTATTATTAATAGATTAGCACAAGACTGCCCTTCCCTTGGGCTCAATAATACATCCCCTGTGCTCTTAGGCAAAACAGGCTTTGGATAATTTCCTACATGTTTCAAAAAGCCCTTTGGTTATCTCTTCCTACAAGAGAAAGAAATCTCTACGTGTCTAACATACAGCTCCAGCAGATCCAGCTTGCACACAGACTTGTCCAGGGTAAAATTCATTTGCATTTCCTTCAGGATACTTAAAAGAATGAACACACCCATGAAAAATCATGCAACTCACTCAGTGTTTGCAAACTGCCACATTCTTCCTTTTCCTTGTGTTACATCCCTGCTCTCAAATTCCTTGACTGACGTGGCTGTTTGAGTTGCTAACGCTCTGTGATGAGGACTGTCACTGTCGTTTCTGCTGTGTTTACCCAGTGCTGCTCACAACAGGGTCCCCCCCCAACGCAGTCCCTCACACTGTGGTACATGCTAATAAATACTAAGAGCACCAGGCGCTTCCCTCTTTTCAGCAGCAGGAATGTAACAAACCTGATGAATAGGCCAGGCACTGGGAATGTTTCCAGAAGCTGTAAGGGAAAAAGAAGTAATTTATTGCAGGTGCTAAACATACATCATCTACCTGTGAATACAGGTGACCATCACTTGCTCAAACGACTAGTGCTGTCCTTGAAGGGAAAAGACCACAAAGGTCTCTTTCTACCACAGTGAGCAGCAAACAGCAAAGTCCTCTGTGAGTTTCAGGAGAGGCAGGCGGTGGTGTGTGCTTCCACTCAACAGCAGAGCTGGCCTGAAACACAGTCACATTGTCTCAGTAAAATTACATTCAGGTGATGTGTTATCCTCAGATTCCCTTCACTCCCATTGCTGCTCTGCAGCCAGAAGAGGTTGGGACTCTTGGGACTCTTCCCCTGGAGTGGGGCAGTCAGGTGCTGGGGGGACATGGGCCCTCTTTCACACATGTATAAAACACCCCAGGCCACCAGGGCTGCTCCAGAATAACCCTGCTCTTCTCCATCTTTGCTTTTCCACACCTCTGGGATGGAGCTGGCATGACATGCTCCAGGCTCACCCTGGTGGCAGAGCTCCTCTGGGTTTCTGTGGGATTTTTAACCAAGCCACATTCCCAGATACTTTCTCAGGAGCCTCACAGGAGCCAGCTTTTTTGGAGCCTGAAAGCCAAGCACCGCTCAGCTCCCTCTCTCCATCCTGCCCATCCCACCCCGGGACACCACAGCCTTACACACTGCTGCGGCTCAGCAGCTCTGATTATTTGTATGGAAATTTGCTCCCGGTTCAGAAGTGGATCAATGACAATTTCTTGAGCTGGCTCCACTTTGAGCACCAAAATTGACTTCTGGAGAAGCTGCTTCATTTCCCAGCTTTCCCCCCACCAGAAAACAGATCATTGCATGGGGCAGGGGTGATACAGCTCTGAATAGGCACTGGGCCTGTTAGACCCCAATATAAAACTCACTGAGGCTCCAAGGAAAACCACATTGCTGCTATACTCCTCCTTGTCACCTCTTTACACCAGAGAGAAATGGAAGCAAATCCATTTGCTAATATTCAATACACCACACAGATATAAATGGCAGCTCAGAGCATAACGCAGGAGAGGCTCATTTGAAGCAATTTAGCTCAGCTATTCCTTTTCTGAGTTCCCCAGTTTGCCCTGTTTCTATTACCCAGCCCTGCCACTTCTTTGCTTTCTATATTGTCTTGCTGTCTGCCCATCCCTCTCCTTGTTCTTCTTTCTTTTACATTTGAAAATACTTCATATGAAAGGCCTCTCTGTCTCACTCTCACCCATCACCTACCAGGTCTCTGCATCTTGCTGGCAGCACATGAATAGCAACTCTCCAAGCTCCTCCCTGGTGCTCTCTCCTCTTCCAGGGGCTGCCAGGGCCTTTCTCCCCACACAGGGGCAGTGGAAGCTGCCTCAGGCCCACGGGAGAGTTGCACAGCCCACAGGACACACTGCCAAAGCTTTCTTGTTTCTTTTCCCCCACACCTACATGCACTGTATTTATCCTGGAGAAACCCGACTTACCTTTGGCTCTCAAATGCCACAATTCCTATCATTTAGGAAGAGTTTTAATTGAAGATTCTGCTCATAAGATGCAGCGTGGTGTCCAAACTGCATTTTTACACCCAAAATAAGTCAGTGGAGTGCATTCTGCACTGGACAGGCACAGGAGGAATGGGAACAGGGGAGATTGAGCTGAGCTCTTAGGCAGAAGCTCTTCCCTGTGAGGGTGCTGAGGCGCTGGCACAGGGTGCCCAGAGAAGCTGTGGCTGCCCCATCCCTGGCAGTGCTCAAGGCCAGGTTGGACACAGGGGCTTGGAGCAAGCTGCTCCAGTGGAAAGGGTCCCACCCGTGGCAGGGGTTGGGACTGGATGAGCTTTAAGGTCCCTTCCAACTAAGACCATTCTGTGATTATATGGGAAGAACAAACCCAGTGCCCAGAGCAGTCTGATGGGGTAAACTTATATTTCATGGGGTGTCTGAAATGGAGCCTCAGGGGCTAGTTTTATAATTGAGTGCCTCTTAGTAGAGCCAAGTGAGTGCAACAAACACAACCCCTCTAGTCTTTCACTGCACATGTTAAAATCATCTTAGTTAACAAAGATTCAGGCTATTAATGCAAATTCCTGGCTTCAGGTTAGCCCAGTGCAGCACTTTGTGCAAGGCCTCCATAAAAGAGGCTTTTCATTTAGCTCTAATAGGGAGGTTATTGTATGTTAAATAAATACTAATTGATTATTTAATATCTATGCGTGGAGGGTTAACTGCTCTGTAATGAGCTCCTCTCCATTAGTGGAGCTGCTCAACGTCAATTAATGTGGGGTTTATAATCAATTGATATTTAACTTGCCCTAACTTCCCTGTTTAGACTCATGGGTCAGCATTCATGAAGTAGCCAGGGCCAGGAGTTTCTTTCCAAATTGGAAAAATATCTGTTGGAAGATTTACAACAGGGTGGAAACTATGAATCCATTAAAAGCTCGGAAATCAGCTCCATAGAACAGGACACAGCAGGGTTAGTCTGTGGGATACCAAGAGCTGCACATATGAGAAACCTCTGGGAATGGGAACAAGGAGCCACATTCCCTTCCCTTCTGTGGGACTTGGCCTTTTTTTTCCCCAGCTTCCCAGGAAATGCTCTGTACCATTTCAGAGCTTTGTACCATTACCCTCTCTCCTTACTCAGAACATTAAGCAGCACATGGGATAGAGCTAGGCTTGTCCCCCCTGTGATCCCAGCTTTCCTGTCCAGTTGCACCTCGATACACGCTGGAAATGGGATATGCAATGCCCCATTTGGAAATGAGTGCAAGGTAAAGATTAGGGACAAGGTTTTCCAGGATGACCAGGGGATTTAGACACACAGCTGCCATTTATTGTAATGAGCCGTTTGTCTCTGAATCTCCCAACTGCCTTTTTAAATGGCTAAGACTTTATTCCCTTTGCCTCTGCTCCCCAAACACACCCAAATAAATCATGTGCAAGCCGTTTGTGGTGTACACCAGGGAAAAAACAAGGAACTTCCTCATGAAAGGAGTGATCACAACTCATTTACAACCATTATCCAACATTATTTCTTCTCTAATTTCCTTACTTGGCAGCTTTCAGTTTCCATGATGTGGCAGAGTTTAGCTTTGCTTGCCAAAAATTTGGGCTGGAAGAGAACATGGATGGAAGTACAGGATCTTTTCCCATCTGAGAGCTTCCTTTTCAGGTTTGCCCTCTCTTGCACCCAGCTAGACCCCTGCACCCTAGCAGGCCACCCCAGAAGCTAAATGTTCCCTTTAAGTATTACTGTATTTCTGATCAGCAGGGTTGGGTGCAGGATGATGGATTCCCATTTCAGGGTTCTCATTCTGGCATGCAGCAGCACTCATTAAAGGCGACTCACTCACTTTGCCATTGTGGAAAGCAGCTCATCTCACCCACACTGAGAGCAGGTCAGTCCATGTGGATTGTCTGATACTAACATCTCAGCCTAAATCTTAGCCTAGATAAGGTCCCCGTCTCCCCCACTTGCTTTATAGGCTTTCTAAAACGTGTGGATGTTTTAAGCAATAAAAGAGGGTGCAGAGCAGATGAAAGTGTTGAAATCCCTCCTCTCACTGCACTTGTTCAGCGCTAAGACAATGGAGCTTAAAGCATCATTGCAGCTTTCAGGCGGTGTTATGATGCAGATAATGAAGATGAAGCAAGAACAAAGAGGCTAGATCATGGTTTGAAGTCTACAGACTGATTTATGTCATCTGAGGATCTGGCCCAGTTAGATCTAATTTTAACATCCTTGACAAATTCCCTTTAATGGCAAACTGTCAAAAGGGAATCTTTTCTCCGCCCCTCATCCTTCCATCTCCATGAGCTGTTCCCTGTGCCAACACTGTTCTCCAGCAGTAATTGGCAGTATCATTCCATTATCACTTATTCTTAAGGCCTGAGGATTTCATTCCTTGCAATTTTCCTGTTGTACAAATTCATGTCTATTAGTTTAACACACGGGCATGCATTTATTCCCTCTGTCTGTGTGTGTCTGGGGAGGAAAACACTACTTAAACCTGAAAGGAGCCACTGTCTTATAAAAAACCTTAAGGAAGCAAAAGAGCTAACAGGACCCGTAGTTGTGACTTCCAGTAGGAGGTGCCTCGGTCTCTGTTCTCCTTATAAGCATTTTAAATGGCTGATGATCCTAATGAACTTAATAGCATCACTATCCAGGGCCAGCATCAACGCGTTGCCATCCCGTATTTTGCAGAAATAGCTCCTCTTTAAGCAGCGCACCCCTGCTTTGAGCAGGAATGGGTTTTAAAAGTGTCTGAGCACACAAAGGCAAAATCTTTTTTGAAACAGGGTGGAATTGGTTGGTGATTATCACTGAAAAGCTGGCAGCCACCAGCTAACCTTCTAACAATGAAATATGGGAATTTACCTTCATGCTTCAGTGCTTGCTATTCAGCTGTCTACCAGGGTCTAAATCAATGATTCTACACCCTCCACTCAAGGTTTCTCTTTCAAATGCTGCAGATATGACCTTAAGTTCATCATCTAAACAATGCAGTTCACGTTTAATTTCATTAATCTAAGATCTTCCATAAAATTGCAATATGGCACCATACCTTTCAAGTGCCTTCATTAAAACCCATGTTATTTCTAAATCCCATGCATATCTATGAGGTCATACGGTGGTTTATGAAAGTGGGTTTTTGAAAGGCTCACCTCCTTTATCACCAATTGGCATAAGGTAGTTTACAACAAAAAACATTCAAAATAAATCCTCTCCTATTGCTTAGGTGATGAACAGATCACCCATTTCTGAGAATTACCCCTTTTCCCAGGGATTTTACATTTGGAGGGGAAAAGAGGAAATCATGCAACCTTCCTTGTTCATAGATTTTGTGCTGTTTACGATGCATGGTGCAGTGACCCTTTTGAGATGCATCACATCATTCAGCTCTGGTGAACATCATTCCCAAGATTTGCCCCCAGATATCCATGTGGCACCATGGTCTCAAACTGCAGATTGGATTTTTTTTGCTATTCTTGCAATAATACATTGGCACAAGTTTCTTTTCCTACTACATCCCTTTCCTTATCTCTAATCTGTATTATGCATCACTTGGCATTGTGATAACACTTTGGAAGGCCAGTTGGAGCAGGGACCTCATGATAGTAGATGCTGAGAGCATGAAGACACATCCTGCCCCCCCAAACCTCCTCTCTCTCAGCACTTCCAACCCATTTAGAGCAAAAGATATTCAAAGAAAAGACTTTTCCTCTTTATTTTGTGCTCGCATCAAGCAAGCACAATTTGTGCAGTAAAGTTCTTACCTAATTCGGGTTTGTGTGCATAACATAGCAGCAGAAATGCAGAATAAATAATCATCTTCCTAATAAGTGTGCTCTGAGATGCACCTGCCTTCCTGCACTCCAGATCCCTGCAGACTCCACAGCCTCCTCCAGGATTGTTTCCAGGAGCAGGGAATAAATTCTTCCTGAGCTTACCTGAGCTGTGCTTGACTCCGGGTGTGCACAGACACCCCCCACTGCTTTTGTAAGCAGCATCACAGCAGGGAAGGAGCTGAGCTCCCTTTGGAAGCATCTTAGAGGTGGGGCCCATTCCCCCAGCCTTGCACAGGCATGCCAATTCTCCTTCTTTATTAGCACTTGCTTTACTCCCTTCCTGCAATGAAAAGCAAAATAAAGTGCTGTGCAGCATCATTTATTGCAAAGCCACCAAAATCCACTTCCCTAAGAAATCAAAGCAACAACAAGTTCCGTGAAACAAGGATGTTTTATGTGTCTCCTTGTGAACTGGGAAGCAAAAATACCAGGTAAGGCTGGGAGTAAAACTCTTCTGGAGCATTGCAGAGTCTCAGGACTACTCTGCCTTGCTTCAGAGTGACAGGAGCACACTGGGAGCACTGGCGGGGCACAGAGGTACCCCAGGTGCTGCTATGAAGCACTCAGGAAGCACTTGAAATTCATTCCCTCTCTACACGTTGAAGCAGAGTGGTCCTGAAGCCTACTGAAGCCACTAGAAGACCTTTCTGTGTGTATGGGCTCAGTTTAGACCTTGTTCTCTAATTAATTGCAAGAGAGGCTACATTGGAGCAACCACTGCTCCCTCCTTAATTAAACTTGCCACTTAAACCTAAGCTCAGCGCCCGCTCTATCGATCTCTTCTGAAATAACCCACCCCTTAGGTCAGTGCTAAACAAAACCAGATCCCTAAATACATTGGAGTATTTAGGTTTTTCACAGAGGTAAAAAGGACACAAATAACGATACCTGTGCCCAAAGTAAAGTCATGATCCACAGTGTTTCCATCTCTTAAGCGAAACGTTAAGCAGCCTGAAGAGTTGAAGCTGTCCCATGGTGCTGCCCTCATCCTCTGCACTGTTTGACTGAGGCTTGAGCAGGAGCCGCTGAGACAGTGCTATTGAGATGTCATTTGTGACAAACCTTCCACAGTTAATACTGGTTGATGACTTCAACCTCGCCTTCCTTCAGCCTTCCAGAAGAACATACCCCAGCTGCAGTACTGCACTGACGGTGTAACATTACTCTGAAGAAGCAATTACAGCAAGCAGAGCAAGGAACTAAAGACAGGTCACCTAAATGAACTGAGGGAAAAGTACATGAGAAAACAAGAAAATGTCTTCATCACTTTTCAGGCTTCAAATTGGAAAAACAGGGATCAATACAGCAGAACTTCATTTAATGGTGTGAAAAACAATCCACCCCAAGACAGGCAGGAATCACTTACTGCAAAACAAACAGGCCAATTAGGCCCGGGCAGGGTGCAGTGGGACACCAGCACTGGAGCCATTCCTCCAGCCTCCAGATGAAGCCACCAAGGGAGGATACTCTGAGGCCACACGGCAAAATATCCCCCCAAAAGGGCCACGTGGCTGCAGTTTGCTGCTTTTTCTCCCCTATTTTTTTCATCCATTACACTTTCCATTTCATTTAAATGATGGCAGAAGTGGTGTGCAGCATTGGCTGATGGAAACACCGAGAGAGCTGGGCTTGGGAGATGGGGACACAGCACGTTCTTATGCGTGCTAAGGTTTGACCAACACCTCTCAGTCTGGCCCCTAGCACAGTGAGGAGGGGGATGTTACTGAGACATGGGTTTGTGTTGTCTATGATGCTGGGGATGTGCAGAACCCCTTTACCATTGCTGTCGCACCAGTACCTTTCCTCATTGAAAGCAGCAGACCCTGCAAAGCCATGCTTGCATTCCTTCTGCATCTTTCCTCAAGGCTTGGTCCAGTGTGACCTTAAAACTTCCAGTGTCAGAGTGCAGCACCGTCCCCAGGTGACTCATTCTGTTGACTGACTGCTTCTGTGTTAGGAAGGTTTTCTTCCTCTCTAGAGAGATGGCAGCTCCCCTCTCCAGCGTTCATCCAGGACACAAGCATCCGCCACATGAGGAGTCTGTTGCTCTTACTGCCATTGCCACTGCCAGGTCCTGTAGCATATTAAACAGATTAATTGAAGGGATATAGAGGGAGCATAAAACCCACCAGTGTTCACTGGGGGCAAGTGCCACTGAAATGGAGAGGGACTGAGGCAGGAGCTGACATTTGCAGGAGTAACATCGTGTTATTAAGAGGAGAAAATACCTTTGCCTTACACTTAATAACAGCTACCAGGGCATATTCAAACCCAAATATTTGTAAGGCAGCAAGTTCACATCTTATTCCCCCTCCTTCTCCCCCTCCCTTGTCAGTCAAAACCAGCCCTGGCATTCCAGACTCACAGAGCTGCTGGTTTTAAAGCATCTCACAAAGCAGCGTGCACACCAGGCCTAAAGCTCAGACCTAACTTTGCATTTATGTTTGTCTGCAGGAAAATAATCAGCCCAAAACATGTGGCCACAGTCCCTGCTGCACATCCAGAAAACTGCTGTGCAAGGCCATTTTCCTCTCTTTTTCCCTCCCTTCTGCCAAAACATCGCTTGTATTTTCTCCCTTTATTTATTGGAGTGCTAAATGGATTATTTCAGTAATAAATCAGGCCCTTTCATTACAGTTTTAAGGTGTTGTCACTGTTATGAAGTACAGTGTGCCATCAAAATTAAGCTCAGACTGCATTACCACCTCTTTTACAGACAGAGAATGACTTGATGGGGTTTTCTTTCCAGCAGTCTAAGCACTTTGTGTCTTGCCTTCGAAGAACAACTTGCTCCTTAGATTCAGACACCTTCCTCCCCAGGTTATGCAGTTTCCATTCCGGTTGCCTCACAAGTATCTTAGCATCAGGTTGGAAACCAGAGGGATGATATTTCTTCTAGCCCAAGCTAACTATTCATGTAAATGGGAGGAACTGGTAATGGGAAGAGGCGATGCTAGAGCAGAATTACGCAGTGTCTGGCTCCTCTCACTTCCCAAGGTTTAAATCAGAAGTAATGCCACTGAAGTCAGTACAGCAACAATTGCCTCAGTGCTTCTGAGGCAGCCTTTTGGTTTTGCTGTGCTCATAACAAAGGTGACTGAAGGAGATGCTGATTGCCAGGGTAATTTCTAGTCAACTTCACCTGAGCAGGACCCCATTCTCCTTGTCTACCCCAGTGAGCAAATAGAGCCCTCATTGCCATCCCCCCTGCCCGTTCCATGGCTTCAGTGAGGACAAACAGCATTATTGGGCCGTAATAACCAAATAAGTCTCCATCTGTGTTTAGTATTAACAGCCTCAAACTAGCAATGGAAATGCCTACTTGGGTGTTTGAATCCCATATGAAGTTATGTGAATTTATGGAGTATTGATAACAATCAGAACTGTGCACGGTGCAGGGGTGAGACAGTGAAGGCTGGCTTCCAAAATCCAGAGCTAAAGCCCTGAGCTGCTCTATGTGATGGTGGCAAGTGCCTTCAGATCTCTCCTTGCAGAAGATGGAGCCATGCCGAATCCCCGCCTCCGAGGCCTGCATGGAATTCCAGACAGGAACATGTGAAGAAAGCTTGTGTGGTGACAGCCTTGCTGTTCCCACCCCAGCATAGGAATCATACACACATCCCACTTTGCCTCCTTGCTTGGGCTCCCCATGGAAGCTGGGGTGGGAAAGCCCTATCTAACCCCCCCCCATTCAAAACCGAAAGCATGAACACTTCAGCTGAATGGAGCATTAAAACACTCCTCTGTTAAACATATGCTCAAGATCCAGTGCTTTTAAAGTTAAGTGTGTTATAAAAGGCTTCCTGAATTGCATCTTTACAAGTATTATATTTATCTTAGATGTAAGATGCAGAAAAGGCATCTGTAGCAGAGCCAGCGTGAGGGGCACGGCCACATTGCACTGGGGAATGGGCTGAGCTGCACAGGTCAGGTCAGGTAGAGCAGGTGGACAGGGCTCTTTATCACATAGGTTAAACTCAGACCACTGACCTATGTTTCACCACCACCACCACCGTGATGCTGCTGGTTTTAAGCAATAGGTGGCACTTCAGGAAAAGGAGTTTTCCAGCATTCCTCCTTTGTGCCTTTCCTTTAAATCAACAGTAACATTAGTGACAGGGTTTTTAAAACCACAATATCCCAGATGAGTCAAGAACATCTCACCTGCAAATAATAGAGCCCCCTCCAACCTCTGCTATGCCTACTCCTTATTCCACCCCCTGACACAACCTGGGAGCAATCCAAAGGAATAAGTGACATTATCCTGCAGTAGCTCGGTGACACTTAGGTTCCAGTCTTCAGAAAAGCTGTGGGCAGGTCTGCCTAGTGCTGCAAAAGTCATTTGAGAACACTTTATGGGCAATACTTGGAGAGCTGTATGTGTCAGTGACCTGCTGCTGCTGCATCCTCTGACGGAGCTGCAGAGGGTTTCATTCATCTTCCCTTTCTGGCCATGGCTCTGGCAAAGATGAGAGCCTGAAATCTTATGTATTATTTAATCCTTCTCTTTATTAACTCCACAGCATCTCTGATTGTCCAGTTTGGGGATGGCCACAATGGGATGTACCGTGTCTCCACAGTCCCAGCGCTGCTGCCTCTGCAGATCCTCGTGACCACCCTCCGAGCGAGGCGAGGCTCTGCAGGACTGGAACAGAATCACATCACAGAATCACACACTGGTTTGGGCTGGAAGGGACCTTGAAGTTCAACCCACGGGCAGGGACACCTTCCACTAGAGCAGGGTGCTCCAAGCCCCATCCAGCCTGGCCTTGAGCAGTGCCAGGGATGGGGCAGCCACAGCTTCTCTGGGCACTCTCGCAGGGAAGAACTTCTTCCTAAGACCCCATCTCCACCTGCCCTCTGTCACCTTGCTTCCAGAACTTCACTGCTGCCAGGAAACAGCAATGTTTTCCCTTTAGAGCTGAGGGCTGAGTCTCCTTCAGTGCGGAGGTGCTGCTGCACATGCGTGGTGCTGGCAGAGAAGGACCGGGGCACCCTGCAGTGCTGCCCACCACAAAACAACTATTGACAGCTCTGAAGTTTTCTCCTTCATTAAAGCCATAGCAGAGGCCCAAGCTGCTCAAGGAGTTAAATGTATTAAGCAATTTACAATTAATATAGAACTCATTCCAGAGATATCTACCAGAGAGTACAACAGGGCAATTAACCCACTAATACACTAGGCTATTACATCGCTATGTCTCTTATTTTAGCCTGAGGTGATTTGAAACGCATTGGATTAAAGGATATTACAGGAGATAGCATGAAAAATAGCTTAATGTAATGAGCCATCCCGTGATGTCTGCTATTAAAGATGATTTGCAGTTGAAAACTACAACATACAGTAGTTCAGCCATTTAGAAACATGAGTAATTTAACCCTTTCCTAGCCTGTGCCCCTTAGATGAATCGGTGCTCCTCCCCCCCCCCCCCAATGCCTTTATCTGAGGATTATCAAATGCACCTTATTAAAGTACAATGGTATCTTTGGGAGATTGGTGCCCAAGGTTAAGAGAAACCACTAATCTGCTAATAACTTTTAAGACTAGATCCCTGAGCAAGTAAATAGGCTGAGGCAGAGGGAGGCTGTTTGACTGGCACCACGTTCAGGAGGTGGGAACTTGTAGCAAATTCCTAGAGTAGCCTTAGGCCTCTCATATCAGCTTCAAATGGTAACTCAGAACTGGGAAACAAAAGCATCTTATCTTAACATCTATAACCATACAGCTTAGCATGGAAATGGCAGCACCCAGGGAGAGGGCTCAGCAGTTGGAGAAGTTCCTGCCTGTGGAGCAGACTTGCCATAGAGACCTCTGATAGCTCAGGCACGTTCACTGCTGGCTTGGTGCTGCAGGTCATCCGCTTCTCATCTTTAGTTTAGCCTGGCTTTGGTCAAGAAACCAGCACCAACAAGCCTGGGTACTGAATAAAGGCACCTAGAAGTCATTCTGTTCCCAAAAACACACTGGAGCAAACACTATAAGCACAGAGCTTTGGCCATGGGCTTTATTCATCCTCGCTGGCAAGGAAAGGACTGTGCTGCTGATGTGTGAAGGGGATGATGAACACATGGAGGTGCTGAGTGGCAGATCCTGCATGCACAACAGCCCAAAATCTGCACTGCAGCCAAAGTGCCTTCCCGTGAGTGCCTGTAGCACAGTTATGTATTAGCAGAGCACTCTGCCAAATGATGCAGCTGTAAATGACCTTCCAAACCTGGATCTGCAGAGACAGGTGATGGGGGAGCAGATGAGGAAAGCAAGGAGGAGGTTCACTGTGCTCCTGCAGAAAGCCACTGACTTCACAGAGCATCTGCCTGCTCAAGGCCTTCTTCAGATGAATTTTAAATGGTCCAAGGATGGAGATTCCCTCACACCTTGGTGCTTCTTTCAGTGCTTGGTCACCATCAGTTAGAAAGAGGTTTTCTTACACCCAGTCTGAACTGTATTTGCTGTTGCTTCTTTCATTTTACTGGAGACCAGGTAGAAACACCTACAGAAGACCCCTCCAGCCGCTCCATCTGGTGTAAAGAAAGGGGAGACATCAAGTATTCAGCAGGAGCACACGAACTCAGAGCACAACCATCCCATGGCCTCTCCCAGAAGCCAGCAGCCTGAGGCTGAGCCAAGGCAGCAAACCCCCACCCTGCCCAAGCTCAGGTACCCCACTGAGAAGATCTGAACACCACCAGTGGGGAAGGAGAGCCTGTCCCTTGGCTTGATGCTGGTTATGCTGAGCTTCTAACCACCACACAGGTTTTAGTGCTTACACCTGGGGGTATTTCAGCCCAGCTTGCCCCCTGCCAGCTGACATCCTCCCAGCCCAGATGCTGCTGATTTCAGCTCTCAGGAAAAGTCACAGCACTGGGAAACAGTTTCAACCTGGGCAGCGTGTGTTTCTCTTGCTCTTGTTTCTGTGTTTCCTCCTCTTACCCAGAATGCAGTAAAATCACTGAATTCATGCTGTCAGTCATCAGGCTTTTTGTCTATGAGACGAAGACCCCAGGCACAATCTCTCTTTTTAAGAACCCCATTGACACAGAAATAGAGATGAACAAAACTGGCACTTATTTTTCCCCCAGGAAAAGATAGGATTTTTCTCCCCATGTTTCCTGTCAAAAAGTTTCTTTCTTCAACAAACAGAAATAAATCCCATGCAGCCCATTAAAGATATTGCAGGGGGGACCTGGGGAAGAGTTACAAGTACATGAAGAAGTGGGCAGGATGGTTTGCTGCCTTGACCCACACCACCCAAGCATCCTCTGCTGTGGGTGCAGCTACCTGTTTCCCAGGAGTTGCCATGTGCACCAGCACTCCCCTGGGAGAGGTGGCCCAAAGCAGGGTCAGTGGCTACTCAAGGATGTGCCACTGGTTCTGTTTGCTTTCAGTCATTACCCTGGGATTCAAAAGCGGTGTGCCAGCTTGCACTGACATCATGAGGAGGATGGATGGCATCATTGTGGTTCCTTTGAGCAAAGCGTGAGGAACGAGGAAAAGAAACCCAAATGCCAGCAAGAAAAGCACTCTCAGGCTGAGATTCTCCTGGGCCTGAGCTGAGACATTTCTGCACCAAAGTGGAAAGAGAAGGCAAGAAAAAAGCCATTTCCCCAACTGCCCCCCGTGCAGAGCATTCAGTGGGGATTTTAGGCACAAACCCTTCTGCAGGGCCAGGAGGGAGGAGGTGGTGGGGACCTCCTTCTAATCAAAGAACTTGTCACTGTCGCTTTGGCCTTAGCAGATGCCACGAACAATAACCAGGATCCCGTGCCTCTGAAATGCATTATTAACAGGCTACATTCATTGCTATACACCCCTGCTCCAACCAGCTTTCCTTTTTGTTTCACTCGGGGCTGCCTGCATCCCAAGTGGCACGGGAACCTGTCATTTCTCATTTCCATCCGGAGGAACAAGTGATGTGGGAGAAGGGGAGAGGATGACCAGGGCTTTCTGACCTTTTCTCCTTCAATTCCACTCCTCTCCTCTGTGAGGAGAAAATGGCAGTCACACTAGGTGGAACTGACAAACTCATCTCTGTGTCACTGCCTTACGTGTACAATAGCTGTGTCACTCGGCGTCAGGAGGAGGAGGCAGTGATGGGATTAGGGGCCCATGATGGCCCTTACCTGTGAGCAGATTTAAGCCTTCCCACTGCACCCCATGCTCGTTGGTGCCAGCCAAGGTGGGGTTATTTAATTGTGAGCAGGGTGATGTGAAGCGCACCATAAAAATCCCATGTCATTTGCTCTTCCTTTCCAAGTGGGATTGGTGTCTCCATGTGCCTGCAAAACCCCTCCTCAAGGAGCAAGACCTTGTGGCTTCTGAGGTTGCTAAGCTTTTCACATCACTTTGTAAATTCAATTGAAGAGCTCTCAGGAATGTACTACAGTAACAGGGAAACTGAGACACAGCCAAGGAATGGGGCTATCCCAAAGCTATTCCATACCTCTATGGGTACTGAGCATCCGGGTCCCTGCTCTGTTCCCTCCAAGGCTGTCCTGCAGCCAAGCAGATGGGGATGCACAGTGCAGGAAGGCAGACGGACACCCAGGGGAACCCCTGCTCTGCACTGCCCACCCTGTGCCACCCCAAATCTGCTCCTCCTGCCCCTACAATTATCCCATGGGGTGAAGATGAGAGACATCAAATGTCCCCAACACCTTGCAGCCACTACATGGAGGAGAGGACAGACTGGAGCATCACAGCCACAAAGAACCAGCCCAAGGCACTACCAGAGTGCTGATGAACATAGCAATTAATGAACATCATTGCTTGCACAGGAGCTCAGTGGGCTCAGCCCCGGCACGGAACCACCACCATGATGACAAAGCCACCATTGGCTCTAGTGCTTGGATGGGCACTGACAATTCCCATTTCACCTGGTTTGCAAACACACCTTGATTCGTGAGGGGGAACAGTTTATGGTATATCAGAGACACCACATGAAAGGGGATTTTCCTAAACCATTCTCAGCCTCCAAAGAATGGAGCCCAACACAAACCCACCGGAGACAAGAACAAAGAACAACTAGAGCATCATTTTAGTCAACTGTAACTAGTCCTAGATGAGATAGGGTGGCGCAGGATGATATATTCCTGGTTGGCATGATGCAAACTGGCTGATTCCTCCTAATACTTGAATGGAAAAGTGCAGGAAGGTGAAGGGGGGAGTGGAGAGAGGCAGGGGAGAAGGTTTTGTACAGAGAGCTCTTCTGCAAGAAAACTCCCTTTTTGGAGGGTAGGAGGGATATTAGTTGGGAACAGCAAGAGCATAGATTTTTCAGCTCCTATAAATCATTATTACTGGAATGTCCCTGAGGGGATGAGGAGAATGAATCAGTTAGAGCCAGAACTTTTAGAGGGAGAAAGAGAAAGGAGGGAAAAAGGGAAAGAGGGGGGGAAAAGGGGAAAAAAGGGGGGGGGAGAGGAAAAAGGGGGGGAGGAAGAGGAAAAAGGGGGAAGAGGAAAAAGAAAAAGGGGGGAGGAAGAAGAAAAAGGGGGGAGGAAGAAGAAAAAGGGGGGAGGAAGAAGAAAAAGGGGGGAGGAAGAAGAAAAAGGGGGGGAGAGAAGAAAAGATTAAAAGGAGGGAAAAAAGAAGGAAAAAAGGAAAGAAGAGTGAAAAATAAAAATAAGAGAAAGAAAAGCAAAAGAGGAGACAAAGGCAGGAAAAAGGGAGGAAGAGAGAGAGGGAGAGAACAAAAGCAACCGGAGAAGGAGGAAGAGAAGGGGAAGAAGGAGAAGAAGGGAATGAATGAACTTTGGAAGCAATTTCTAATTCCTTTCACCTACATCATGAATTGAGCATGCAAAAAAAAAGGAGGAGAAGGCGGCAGGAGGCAGGGAACTATTGCGCCTGGCATGCAGATTATCATTTGAAAAGCTTCTGTTGCTATGTTTTTGTCCCTGGGTGATGAAAATGAAATTGTCTGATGTGTGCGCCGTGTTAGATTTACCTTTGCAGGGTTCACCCACAATCAGTAGAGAGGGGTCATGCCACAATATGTCATCTCACAGCTCCATCACACCAACTCCAATTTATACGAGGAGGTATTATGCATTTCAAAGGAACCCCCTGCGCGTGGCTCTTGTTACTGATCTATATCGCAGCTCAGCTGAGGGAAGATTAGTTCTGCTGCAAGGGCAACCAGACTTATTTGTTTATGATTATATTCCCCTTAAAGACGCACTATTCCTTTCTTTCTAATGTCTAATTTCAGGCATCGCGTTAAAGGGGTTGGGGAGAAGGGGGGGGGGGGTTGGGATGGAAAAGGTGAGAGAATTCCACACTCTCTCCCACAAGGAAACCTAATAGTCCAAGTCTCCCATGCATCCTGCTCATTAAAACCAAAAAAAAAAGCTCCATTTAAATGCAAATGTGAGTTTTAGCTGGGGACTCCCCAAAAAGCTTCTCTTGGAAGCACCAGGGAAATAGGATTCAGGAAGCTAAAATGGCTGACAGCAGCCGAACGCCTGCGGATAACGCTTCCCATCTAAACGCCCTCGTCCTTCCCCCTCCGCTGCTCCCCGGTCCCGCATCCTCATCCTCATCCCCATCCAGCCCGGCTGGCTCAGGCGCAGCATCACTTATCACGGCTCTCCGCTGCAGGATTGTTTTACCTCAGGCAAACACCACCCCAGCGAGCTAAAACTGATAATATTAGCCTTTCAACTCCTGCTCGCTCTTGCTTTAATCAACGTTTGCCCAGAAAGTCCACGGGTCTGTCCCTGATAAAGGCTCTGAAGGATTTAATGAGGCGACCGAGTGCTGCAGACCCCAGGAAGCCCCTGCTCAGCACAGCTCCCTCCGTGTTACTGGACATGGATCTAGTTTGGGGGGCTCCACATGATAGCAGGCACCCAGGGTATCATCAAGCAGCTGGCACTGATTCAATGCGGTCCCTGAGCTCTGGGGGCTGTGTAACCCCCAGCATTAAAAAGCCAATAAGTCCTGGGAAGTTTTTACAGTGGAAAAGCTGATTTGTTTGATGGGGGAAAGATGCAGAAGGAAAGGACCTCGATGGGGGAAAGATGCAGAAGGAAAGGACCCTGGGGTCCTGCCTATGGCGGTGGGATGTTCAAAGCTGCCACGGCTCCTCCCAAACCTGCCCACTGACGCATACCCGGGGATGCTGCTCCCTGAGAAAGACCCGACATGCTGTGGGGCACCCCCCAAAAGCCAAATATAAAAATGGAATTGGGGTTTTCTAATGGAGAAAAGGGGGCATGTGGGATGAGGGAAGTGAGGACACCTGAGCTGCTCCCACAGTGGAAGGGTGTTTGCCTCCACAGTGAGAGCAGGGCAGGATTCATGCCGAGCTCTCATGCAGAGACACTTTTGCTTATCATCACCAGGCCGGTTTCTGACTCCTCTGCCCGTGATTAACGTATCACTGCTTATAATATATAGGCCCATTCCCATCTAGGAAATAAATGGGTCCAGCAGGGACCTGCAAGGAGCACAGACACGGAGCTGCTGCTCTCTGGCCCCATCTCCCGGCTCCTCCAGCCCCTCCGCAGAGCAGAGTCGGCAGCGCTGATGGGGTTCAGTGGGAGCAGAACAGCAAAGGTCACCCCTGCGCCCCCAGCTTTTCTTACTGTTCTGATGATGCATTTTGCCAAAGTTTGCCAAATCCAGGCAGAATCAGGAGCATCGAAGCTGCTGCTGCCTTGGCCTCGCATCGCTGTCAGCCACGTCAGATGTGCAAGACTGGAAGTGATGCCCGTCTCCCTTCGTGGTGCTGTCTGCCTGCTGGAACAACAGATGAACAGGTAAATGTATATAGAAGACAATGAGCAGATTAATTAAGGGTGGAATTGGCTCACGGTTCACTTGAAACCAACCCTGTAGTTATGTGGTTTCCCCTCACTTGGGGCTTGAACACTTGGTGGGATGATTGTGGTACCCACCAGAATCCCGCTCCAAAGTGCTGCTGGTCCTACAACAGCTCCCACTCACCCTGGAGGCCTGATCCTGCTCATCCCCATGCTGGGCACACCCAGGGGACCCCCCAGCATTACCAAACCCCTTTGCATTGCCACAAACAGGAGGAACGCTCCCAGCAGCTCGGACCCAAAGTGTTCATATTTTCTGCTTAAGTGCAGAGTCTTCACAGCAGAGCTCACTGAGCCCCTTCCTGCACTAGAGACTGGAAACCTGAGACACCAAAGGCCGCTCACAGGTCCCCAGAACCCACGTTCATCCAAAGAGCCTCATGGCCATCAGGCTCTAA